TCAAGTACAGACAATGCCAAGTGGGTATCACAAGAGAAATGACCGCTATGGGAACAAACAGAGTTCAATGATCTGGATGGTTCAGTGAAAAAGTAAGTTATGTATTTGGAAAAGAAATGTATAAGCTTGTCCAAAACTCAGCACTCAGCAGAGAATATCAAGATATGCTTCAGTTGGGCAGCCTTTGAAGTGTAACCCATTAAAAAGATGCCTACGGAATAAACCACCAAATTTATGTGGTAAAAGCTATTAGCAAGAGATTTAACAGTTCTTTGCTATTCTGCTTTCTGTAGGATCACAGCAGTTAAAACAGTCTTGAAGATGCGAACCAGAACCTGCAGGGGAGAGAGACATGCCTGATATAAATGAATGAATCAATCAGCCACCCAGATATGGAAACAAACCGCTAATGAAAATGCTAACAATCCTAAAAATGTGAAAATGCACATTATAATTTAACAAGAAATGCTGGTTCAAATGTAAGTCCCTTATAAACTCCTTAACCTATTTAATACACTCTTCAGTCTAATCTAGGGTCTGATCTAACACAGGCTTTTTAGTGCTTAGTATAAATATCCTTCTGAGCCTTGCAGTGTTCCCTGTTACTTCCCATTTCACCTTTTCCCACTTTGAGAGTATAATATTGATTCAAAATATGTTCATACGAAGAACGTATGTTCTTGGGGGAGGAAGGGAACAAAGAACACAAGTGTGAGTTTGGGAAAAATAAATAATGATAAGATATAGGTGGGAGGCCGACTTGCCTTCCCCAGCACAATAATTACTTGTGAGAAAATATTCCCCATATGCATTCTGGCAAATGTTGAAAGCCAGATGCCCCAAGTACAAGATTCTCACACTTAAGCTGACTAGTATTTTACTGTGGCTTAGAATGGCACTTTATAAACTGCTCTGGCTTAAAGGCAGTGTGTGTCATGTTGTCTCAAGAATATATCATGGAAAAATCCTGGTGAATAAGCCAAAGCTTCTCCTTCCCGGCTGTGGAGGAAGAAGACTGCTGACCTGTATCAATGATTGACTGATTTCACACAAGGCAGAACTCTGCTAATTTTTCTGGGGAACAGAGACCAGCAGTAAGATTTTCTGCCTGTGGTCTGACTGCCCTGTCTCCACGCAGGAGGGGAAAAGCAGTCCCATAGAGCCTCCCAGCTGAGTGCACATTTACATTACCCCAACTAAAATTAAAGGAAGCAGCCACTGTTGGTTGGATCCTTTCTCAGATTTACAGGGCAAGGAACAACCTCCACCTCTCTCAGCATTCTCCAGTGGAATCATAGAAAGGTTTGGTTTGGAAGGGATCTTAAAGATTATCTAGTTCCCACACCCCTGCCATGGCCAGGGATACCTTTCACTAGACCATGTTGCTCAGAGCCCCATCCACCTGGCCTTGAACACTTCAAGGGATGGGGCAGCCACACCTTCTCTGGGCAACCTGGTCTAGTGTCACCATCCTCACAGTAAAGAATTTCTTCCTTATATCTAATCTAAACCTACACTGTCAGTTTGAAGCCACTGTTAAATCTCTTTTCTTGGAGGTTTTCAGAATTTAACTAAACAAAGCTGCGGCTGCCTAGTCTGATGCTGGAGATCATCCAGTTTTGAGCAGGCAGTGGAACTAGGCATGTCAGAGGTGCCTTCCCACCAGCACTGTGTGATCTGGCAGGCTGTGAAGGACAAAGTTTGATCATGAATGAGGAAGGCACTGATCTTCACCATGTCTCCAGCCATGCTGCAGTTCCACTCTCTCTCTCAGCCACACACCTGGTGTTGCTCCTGTGTTTAGTCTGATGGAAAACAGAGTGCAGGGTGAGGATTGACAAGGGAATGGTGGTTGCTGACATGAAGTCAGGTCTTAGCCTGGTACAGAAGTGCTTCACAGTCTACTTTGACTTTATTTATCTCCAGTGCCCATTAGCTATCCTAGTAAACCAGATTTTGTTGGAGTGTCAAATTAGGGATTAAAAACAGTTGACTGATAATCGTGAATTTTGAGTAGGCACTTGGACTTACCTTCACAGAAGCTGTGAGACCTCTGCTGTCACTGGAGCCACTGGCAGGATTTCACTAGCCAGAGAGGAAAGGACTGGACACAGCAAATGGCATGGACCTCTTAACAAACAAGTGCAGCTCAGTGCAGCTGTTCACTGTGCACATGTCATCCACTAGTGTGGAAAAGAAAGTTTCTTACCCAATTAGCTGGAGTGAAAGGAGCTATTGAAAGAGACTGCACATATTATATCACTGTATAAATTATTAAGCTGATGTCTTTCTTTCTTCTGTCCCGAGGATGGCAGCTCTGAAAGTTTACACCCACTTCCTGGAAGTTGTACCTCCTGTAGACTCTGCTTAGATAATTAATTTGCAATATTCATTAACCAGAGGATCAGTGTAATAATATATAGACAAACAGAAGGATTTCATACTTACGTATTAACTCAGCTGTGGTTTTTTTTCTGTTTGCGGGTGAAACTGTTGTTGAATAAATGGGGGGAGAAGGGGAACAAAACAAAACAAAAAAACCCACACCCAAACCCCAAACCAAGTATTTTTATCTTTATCTGGCTAATATTTCTGAACAACAGTTACAAGCCTTAATGAATCACAGGCAAGACACGACCCTGTGGCTGTAGCTACATGCAGGGCTCCATGCTTTTTCTTCTGCATCTGCAGATACAGAGAATTCCCAGAACTGAGTGGAAGAGATCAGTGCTGTGCCTGATATCACCAATGTACTTCTCCCACGTGCTGCATATGGTTCAGCTAGGTCCCAGTGCTTACTGGAGCATAGGGACTTTCCTACACAAAACCAAGCACCCGTGAGCTATTGCCAAATACAGAAGAGGTATGGAAAGCAGCTCTCCTCCCCAACTCTCCTCTGACTCCAGGAGAGATTAGGTTCCTCTTGTTCCCCTCGTTTCTACCTGGACCATTTCTAAAATGTACCTGGGCACTGGGTCTCCCCTTCCCTGGTGAGCACTCACAACCACAGCAATGGAGAGTGAAGGTGTCTGCCCTGTGCACAGCACTGTGTGTGTCTGCAGGCACCTCTAGATGGAACAGCCTGCCTGTTTCAAAAATAACACTTTACACATGGTCACTTCCCATATCACTGGAATCCAGTATTTTTATGTGCCTGGCTCCTTTCTTCCCTCCCTTTTTTCCCAGAGGCCAAGACAAGAGCCCACCTCATTGTCTTTCCCTCTGGCTGGAATGAAACAGAGAATGAGCTGCAGCTCTATGCCCTGTTCATCTGTACAGTTGTGCTTCCTGGACATGTGTGTGCAACAGGTAGAAGAAGGCTTTACTGAGGGAAACCAAACCCAGTGCAAGCAGTTTTACATTACATGTGTCTGTTGTGAAAACTGTGGTTATCTGGTATCTTGGGTGGTAAGTAGGACCCACCATGATGAAGCTGCTGTTTCCTGCATCCCCCAGCCATCAATCCCAGGGTCAATGAGTCTCTGGGGTTGGGACAGACAAAGCCCTCCGGCAGCAAGGTCATTTATTCAGGGAGAGATGCTGAACTGCAGTTGTTGTGCAGAACTATAAAAATAAAGCTAAGCCTGTTGATCAGGACATGCTGGAATTCCAGGGACACCTTCCTCTGAAACCAGTTCCCTCATTTCCTCCTGAGGATACAGCAAGAATTTCATTCAGAAAGAGGCAATGTTTTAGGTTTACAGATATATCTGACAATTAAGGTAGATGTCTCAAGGGATATGTGGTACTTAGACTGTAGAAGTGTTGAAAGACAAATTAGAAAGAGTTTTTTTGAAAATTATGGAAAGTTATTTTATACTGACTTGGTGATTGTTAACATTTTCTAATTTTGACCTTTAGGCCCCTAAATGGGCATATTTTTGACAGGTCATATGTTAAAAAATATCTCCTACGTTCCAAACACAGCTCTCTGATCTGCCTAGTGCATATTTTAGTGACCCAGTTACAGCAAGAGGCTTTTATTGAACAGAGTAGGCAAATGCACGTGGAAACAGAAGACCCACCATCCTTGTGACAATTATACGTCTGTCTCTATTTGTGTAATCTACCCTTTCAGCCTGATAAACAAGAGCCTGTGCATGCATTTGGAAAGGAAAGTGACCATCACCTTCTGTGATCTGAGTATTTTCTTGCATACACCTCAGCTAGGCTGTGGAGCAGGTAAGTCTTAGCCTTTGCACAGTGTTATTGTTCAGGACTCCAGTCTTACTTTGAAGTGCATTCTCGCTTTTCTAACTTTCTCCTGGGGCCTAATCAACAGTGTTTCCCTTATACCTGATTTCTACTTTTAGTTACTTTTTGAGTCAGATACTCTGCAAGTAATTGTATTTCCATCTTTTTTTTTCTTGGTGTTGCTTCTCTGTGTACCTTCTGACTGCATGCTCGATGAAGCAAACCTTGCGGTGCTTAGCTCACATTATTTATATTGCAGGCAATTTACATGAAAAAGAGTCAGCCCAAGCAAACAACATAGTAAATTGAAAGCTGACACTTTCATCTTTATTACTGGTGGTCTTCCTCTAACCATCTCTAAACTGATGTGGAGCTTTCTTTATCAATATGCACTCACTTTGGCTGCTGGTATTTGTTGAACTCATTTTCTTGAGAAAACTTTTAAATGAGCAGGTAGGGGGTAAGCCTTCATTTCCCCCGTGTTTTCACTTATGGGTGCAAAAGATTTCCCTTTACAGCAGCTTTGCAAAATAGATGCACAGTAGATCACTTTCTGAAATAAAAACCTTCCTTTCCATCTACTTTTTGAAATAATTGCTTGTGAGTTCAGGACAATGTTTTATTTTATTACAGTCCATCCTTGCTCAGATGCATATAAGGGGATGGACCAACTGAAAGCCCAACTTTTCAGTCTGGGTAACAATTTCTCTCTTTAGCTGGCCCTCCATCTCTTCACAGAGACTGGCACTTGGTTTGGTTCCTCTGCAATGTCACTGAGTCTGTATCTTTGCCCCACAGCTCTCCCACTCACTGCTATGACCACACCACTGAAAGATGCAATGGACACCTTGATCAAGATTTTCCATCACTACTCTGGCAAAGAAGGAGACAGATACAAGCTCAGTAAAGGAGAACTCAAGGAGCTTCTCACCAGTGAGCTCACTGACTTCCTTTCAGTAAGATGCATCTTCTGAACCTCCTGGATTACTGTTTCATGGGTGGGATAAGCAGCTATCCAAGTATTTGGGTAGGGATAGCATTTCCTTCTGCAAGGCCCATCCTGCCACAGCTTCTCAGATGACAGTTCTTTGTGGAGCTGTACAGAAGGATATGAGGTCAAATGTCCCATTTAAGAAGTGTGTTTTCAGAGAGTGATCAAGCCCCAGTGCCCTGCCATGTACCACCAGCAGCAGAGGTGGGTACCTGTGCTCTGCATGTTCCTCAGCACTTTTGAGCAGGAGGGCGAGGCCAGCCTAGAAGCAGCAACAAAATCAATGCTCAATAAGGCTTTAATTTGTTTGTTTGTTTGTTTGTTTCATTTTCAATAATAAGGCATAGATAAATCCTTGAAGAATTAAATACAGCAACCAGTTCTCATGAGGCAGGAAAGTAGCTTGTGCACACCGGCCACGCAGTACAGCCTCTTGTGTGCCTTGCAGAGGGATGCTGAGAAAAGCCTTTCAGTGATAAGCTGCTGATCTCAATATCTCTTTGTACATTTGTGTTTTACATTACACAGCATGGATGCTTTTATGGAATTGAAAGCATTAATAATAATGTTTTTATGTATCCTCTTAATTGTAAAAATTATTGTGGACCCTATGACCACCAGCAGGATTTTTCTTTACATTATATCTGTTTTCTTGAATTGAATTTTCTTTTAATCTTGGCTATTATTTATTATACTGAGATTCAATGTTCTTAATCCCTCTGAATAGGATGTGTTTTTTGTCAAGAAGAGATCTTCTGAATGTGATGAATGGATGTATAAAATGACCACTTAGGAATAGCTTGTTGAAAATCTAAGTACTTTTTGTTAAAGGATAATAGAGAAATGCACATTATAGATCTATTTTGTCAAAAGGAATCCAGGCTCACCATCTCCTAAAATCTGTTTGACTCATTTCAGTGCCTATTTAGTACCTGTATTCCTTCTAAGAGCTGCACTGTCTTCAGTTTCTGATGCTGCTTTACTGTTCAGGTGCATATTTGATGCTGCATTTTATTTAATAGCACAAGTCTCATAACATAGCAGTGGGCTGTACTGCTGGGTGTGTCAGAATTACACATTCAATATCTGCACAGCTAAGTCAATTTTCTTTCTCTTTAGGGCCAAAAGGACCCACTCCTGGTCGATAAGATTATGAAAGATCTGGACTCCAATGATGACAATGAATTGGATTTTAATGAATTTGTCATTCTGGTTGCTGCTTTGACTGTGGCATGTAATGATTTCTTTGAAGAACAGCTAAAGAAAGAGGAATTTTAAAAATCCTCTATATAATCAATCTCCTGGCCACAAATACAAGCAAAGCATGTCTAGTTAGGTAACCCTCATGGGTGCTCACCGCGTGCAAACCACCGTTCCCCCAACTGTTACTGCTGTAAGATCTTTATGGAGCTGATCAGCAGCTGGTGTAAGCTGGACCACAGCCAGATTACATTACTTGAGATCTGGCTTTTAATATTTTCACTCTTTGCGCTCCATGCATCTGTAACATGCCTTCATCTGTTGCCCAGGTCAAGGGCTCAGGGTGACAGATTGTTTGGCAGGAGTTGAGACTTCTGTTTCTTAAATGCCAGTGGAAAGTAAAAGGCACGGGACTTTCCAAACGGAAAAATTTGGAATGACACATAAAACTTGCAATTTCATTTTCAGTCATTTTATAACAACCATATTTTTGCAGCTCAAAACCAGCAGCTTCTTTTTTGCTCAGCTCTGCTAATTCTCAAGCCCTTTTTAGATGTTGCTCAGTGTGTCCCCACACTCGCATTTCAGATGTGGTCACAGCTGTCTCTTGCTGCCTGAGCAGACGATACCACTTGCCATTGTTACAGGTTCATTTCCTCCATCTCCCCAGCTTCAATTTTGTTGTGTTGGCATTACTGCATCCCAGCAGTCAACCTCTTCCCTCAGCATAAATGTATTTATTCGTACGATAAATTATTTAAATACATAGACGATTTAGTCAGCAAACTGCTCTGAGGACTGATGGAAGGACTGGGTCTTTGGGGAAAATGTGTAAATGCCTTCTTTCACTACTCTGGCATGGTTAAAAGCAGGGCTTTTAGAGGACCACTTGTGGGGGTTTTAATGACAGAATCCCAGGGTACAGCTCTGTAATGTGAATGATCTTATGGAATAATGATTTCATCTCACACCAATCCAACCCACTGCATGGAAACTGTGCAAAAGGGGCAGTGGGACCCCATGGCCAGGGAAAGAGAGAGTAAGATAATCCCTTTCAAAGTTAACTTGCTCTTGGGTTGAATTAGGAGTACTTCTAGACTTTTGTTTAAATTAAGCATATTTCCAAGGCCCTGCAAATCCTTACAGGCAGAGTGTTGTGGCTTTTTTTCTTGCATGGAGAGCTCTCTTATTTCTTTGTTATTTTGTTGGTAACTTCAAACTATAATAAAAGGCATCTGAATTAAATGAAGATTTTTTGTTTGTGTAAGAGGTTAGTAAAAATCATCCCCCAGTGAAGATGTGCCCTGCTAAGCAACATTTGAGGAATGCAGTTCACTTGTTTCTGCTTCCCAGACCACCAAACATTACTCAGTAAAGACTATATTTTTATGAAATTATATATTACTAAGAATATGTGATTTATTATAAGCAGGGGGTTCTATAGGGTGTAATAAATAAAACAAGGGGCAGACATCATCCTAAGAAAGGGGCCACCACCAAATTATGTCATCCCAGGAAAAAAGCAGATTTGGCAGTGATGACAGAGCCACCCTGTGCTGCCTCTTTAACTGTTCAGTGACAAAGTTATATAGGATTCACAGAAGGTCTTCTAGACCAGCACAGCAGAAAGTATTAAAGTAAAACTGGCAAAACTGGGCAACTTTTTGTCCCCTTTAATGCCATGCACATCAATATATCTGCAAGTGTTGGACCAGCATGGCAGAAGTATCAGCCAGAAAACATAAGACTGCTTTCATGATTCCCCATAGGTCCTGCAGACTGTTGCTAGTCTACAAGCCTTTCACCTTCCTCCAAGAGGAAGTGAAAGAAGAGCAGCCTAAAGCTTTAATTGGTCCTACCAATTTCTTCTTTATGACTTTTGAGCAAGATGCTTTTTGGAAAAAGGCTCCCAAACATTCATAAACCCTCTACTCATCCCTGATGAGCTCGTGGACATGTAGCAGCCCATATGCAGAGCAGAATTATGCTAGGTCACAGCTGGCATCAGCTATTTGTCCTGGGGTCAGGCAGCAAGAGTCACTGCCATGATGGAGAGGCTCAGTGGAGCCATCTCATCAGCTGAATTTACTAGGAATTGTGTGCATCCTAAATCCTCTGTGAAAGGGGCTTGCTTGTACATGAGCTGTGGGTGAATCAGAGGAGAATGACTCAAATTATCTTTGTTCTAACAAAGTTTTATAAAACCTCATAAATCACCCTTTTTGGCTGGTTAGGTTTTTCTTGTTACTGTTTTAACTGCAAGGACAAATGTTAAACTCTGTCAGCTTTAAAGAAGAAACATTTTTGTACAAAGGCTGGAAAGCAAGCAGAAAAATAAGAAAATGCAAAAAACACATTCAAATGTTCAAAACCAAAAAGCCTTGGCACAACTGGGGTCCTGCGCTAAGACTTGCCATCCTATTTTAGTGGTATCTATGGGCTGACCCATAGATGGTCCTCTCTCATTCCTCTCCCACTGCAGCCAACTAATGTTGCATTAGTAGACATATCTTGTAAGAAACATACCTGAAGATCACCTGAAAGTTTTCAAAGTGCCTCTGAACCAGAAAAAAACTGTGAGTAATCCCCTGTTCTGTAAGCACTCCTCAAGAAGGAGAACTGCATTGAAGCCGCTTATGCTGGCTGTGCGAGATGGTGCTTGCAAGGCCAACCTTGCTATGGCCACTTTGTCCTGCAGATGTGAGCATTTCAGGTTTAGCTTCTCTCAGAAGGGAAAAATGTCTCCTTCAGACATGAAGGCAGAATTTTTTTCTCATTGTTTACTGACACTTACCCTGCTTCAAGTCTTCAAGACTTCAAGTCTTCCTGTAGTTCACGAATCTAGGAAGCACTTTAAAGTTGTACATGCAAAGAAAGCTTGCTGTGTGGCTTTCTCCAAAGTCCCTCACTTTAGGAATTATGTCTAATTACAGACATTTTTTTCCATTGTGTTATCAGTCTGTCTAATCTATAAAAAATTGAACACCACAATACGGCCTAATATTTTCAAGTTACATCAAAGACCGATAAAAATACAGCAATGCCAGACGAGATCTTTTCTATATATTGTGAAATTGTTTTGCTTGACATCTAAATAGTAGATTTACAGAAGATAAATTATATTATCTTGAAAGCCTCAGCCCCTGCCATTTGCTTTTATTTCAGTTCAAAAAAGACTACAAGTACCAGTGCAACTGGGTTCACAAAGCTTGATGCAATATCTGCTAATAAATTTATTACTTCTTCAGATTCGATATCCAACTGCCAATCTCATGACCATCAAGATAAGTGGTTTGTAATGGAGCTGTGCATCCAAGTTTTGATTTACCAGCCACGTCCAGTAGGAAGGCACTACCTTTCCCAGTCTTCAGCAGTGTAGAGGGTGTCAAGCGCAGTGGAATAATTGCTTTCCTACAACACCACTTCCTGCTTGTAAAGGTGAGAAACAAAGTTTGTCTGGGTTGTGGGAAGGAAAGAGAAGTGACTCTAGGAGACCCCAACAGAACAGGTGGTGTGTCCAGTAGCCAGCAGTGTCATTAACTGCTTTCCACCAATTCCACCCCAGGTCACTCAGCCACCCAAGGCATACCCCTTTTCAAGGCTCCATGCTACAGCATAAAGCAGAACATGACCAGGAGGGAAACTCTCAGGGATAGCTCAGAGTCCATCATTCCAGCTCAGTAGTGCACAGGAAAGATCCAACTCCTCTCTAATCACAGCCTTGAAAAGGTTGGGTAAAAGGTCAAACACAAAACTTGTATCTGAAATCAGATTAATCTATATAAAGGTTTTTGACTGGCAGGAAGATTTGTTAGACTGTAGTGTGATGTCATGCGCATGTCTAATAAGGTTTTTGATTGACAGGCCAACAATTATTAGATGTGTCTTTAGGGATAATTAAGTCTGTTGAATGGTACTCTATTACTTGAAGAAAAAAGGGGTCACATTTTCAATTTTATCTTTCTTCTTCCACATATTATGATATGAGAGAGAATGTTTTATTTATCTAGTAATCTGTTTTCCAAACTAAGTCCATCCACATCCTTTCCTCTGAGCTGGAGTATGGTGGGTTACAGGCTCTGGGCAGCCATCAGAGAGCACATGAATGACTTTACCAGAAATATTAAAGAAAAAAAAAAAATGACAGAAACTTGCCCTTTTTAAATACCAACTCTCACCCACCTGCAATCCGTTGTGCATGAGGGGCAACTCCCAAGGAAGAGAACTGCAGCTGCAGCTACTTATTTTGCCCTTGCAAATAGATTCTCAGCTGATGTAAAATGACAGAGCCTATTGCACTTATATAATTTTGTAACAGCTGAGGACATGTTCTTGAGACTTTAAATTAGTCTTCAATGGAAAGCTGTGTTTCTGTAAGCTGGCTGGCTAAATAAGGACATATCTGTAAAATTGCCAGTGTTGCTACAAGACAGTTAAAAGAAAGACAGAAGAAGTAGTTACTCTGAGCACAGGTATTTGGGGAAAATTAATGGAAATGTTCCTGTATTTGCTTTAAATGCTAAGCTGTTCTCTGAGGTCCTGGTTGACTTCATGGGTTGCAAAGCAAATTGTCATGGTACAGCTTTTAAATATCTATCAGGAGACTCTGCCTTAAAACTCCACATATTGCTTTGACATTCCCAGCAGTTACATGAACCCAGAAAAGCACTACAGAATAAAGTTACAATAGGAAAAACACCTCAGTGTAGAAAAAGTTGCAAAGAGCAGAAAAGCAGCTGAACCACATGGAGCATTAATTAAGGTTGTGTTTTGGGAGCTGGAATATGGCAAGAGTTGAGAATGTTGCAGAAAGATGTAAATTCCTCAGCTCTGACTGGAAATGTCAAGTGGTAGAAGCAAAGAGATCCCTGTGGCTGAGCAAGATGCAGGGCTGGAGACCTCCATCCCATTAAACTATTGATGCCTTGGCTAGGTGAAAGTAAAACTGTTTTTACTCATGCACTAATGACCTAAGTCTGCAGTTTTCCCTCAGGGAATTTTTTTTTTCAATTTTTGGTGCCCCAGGAGTAGTATTACAAGGAGAACCATCACCCTCAGCAAGTCAAGTACAGTTTCTGTTTGAAATTAAAAAGCCCATTAGTGCACCCAAGGTAAAGATGGTCTCTGACATTGCTATCAAAGGTTTAGCTGCATTTATACTTCAGG